TAGAAAGGTTTTAAGTAACCCTTACTGGCTTCATATGGCCATCAGGGTGGGACTTCCATGATTGAGTTCTGGTGGGTTTATGGGCAGAGAGACACCACATGAACACAGACCACACTCTGCTCTGCACAAAGTTCTGCCTTCCACCATTTTGTGACGCCTTTGGACTTCCCAGTCACCAGAACTGTGAGTCTGAATAAATCCCTGTTCTCTTTTTTTTTTCTAAAGAATTATTTTATTTTAACTTTATTTATTATTATTATCATTATTATTTTCCAGTTTGATCAGAGAGAGACAGAGACAGAGAGAGAGAGAGAGAGAGAGGAAGTGAGAAAGCAAGCCACCAGGTCCAAGACTTGAACCGTGGTCGGCCATGTGGGAGTCCAGCGCCCTCAACCACCATGCCACTTGCTGGCCCCAAATCCCTGTTCTCTTAAATTCACCAAGTCTCAGGCATTTCTGGTAGCAATGAGATAATGGACGGAGACAGCTCAGATTGGTTCCATATCTTGGCTTCTGTGAAAGAGTGCTACATTAAACCTTGGGAGCCAGGCTGAATGTTCCCCACACAAAGCGACAACAAATGGCTGCGAGGGTGAGTATAGGACCACCTTGATTTAATCAAAGCATGCTATATTCTCTTTTTTTGCCACTCACATTGTATATTTGTATTAGGAAAAAAAATCACACTGTACTCCACAAATATATACAAGTATTATGTCAGTAAAAAGTGAAAAGTAGCTTTTGAACCCTTGAAGTTCCAAAGGCAGGAAGCAAGCAAGAAAACTATCCAGCTGCAAATTCTAGCTATTATGGAGAAGGAAAGATGACATAAATAATTGACCAAGACTGCAGAGGATGGAGTCAAGAGCTGGGAGAATCTTTCCAGGCAGCAGAACTGCATCTGAAAGAAATGATAGCATGTAGGAAGCTGGATTTTATTTTATTTTATTTTTTGGAGAGGTTTTTTGCTATATGGTGCATGTGCTTGCCAGAAAGACAGAGACAGAAAGTGAGAAATCTCCCCCCACCCCAGGGATGGCCATGCCACACCTTCTCCTCCACCCTCCTCTCATGCACATGCACCTGGTATGAGTTTAAGCCACTGGGACTTGAACCATTGTCAACTACATGGGAGTCCAGCAACATAGCCACTACACCATCTGCTGGTCCCAGGAAGCTGGCTGGATTTTAGAATTTCTTTCTTTCTTTCTTTTTTTTTTTTTTTTTTGGGGGTTTTTGCTTTTTTTCCAGCAACATAGCCACTACACCATCTGCTGGTCCCAGGAGGCTGGATTTTAGAATTTCTTTCTTTCTTTTTTTTTTTTGAGAGTTTTTTGTTTCTTTCTTTGTTCGTTTTGTTTTATTTTGTTTTGCTATAGGGCATTTGCACTCCACCAGAAAGACGGAGAGATAGAAATCAGTGAGAAATCACTCCCCATGGGGAATGGCCATGCCGCAACCCCTTCTCCTTCATTCTCCTCTCGGGATCCTGGGCACATATGCACACACACTCAGCATGAGTTTAAGCCACCGGGTCTGGGACTCGAACCACAGTTGACTACATGGAAGTCCAGCATAGACAGTATACCAACTGCTGGTCCCTGGATTTTAGAATTTCCATAGACTGGGAATTCCTGTGTGCCTTCTATTTCCCCCTCTTTTGAATGAGAGGGTCTATCCTGGTTATCCAATGCCCGAGTCAACATCATACATGGGTGTGTGTAAAAAGAAAACTTGCCTATTCACTTTATAAGGCCTTAAATCTGGAAGGACTGTGTTCTAGAAACTGCACCTGGGATGCTTCATTCACACATGGAGAAGCTTTAGATGGTGAGATCTTGGACTTCGAGCTGATGCCACAGTGAGATGAGCATCTGAGATGAGCATCGAAGGAGGTGAGGAATGTCTTTGCCTTTAGGAGAAATCCGAATTATTGTGAACAGAGTTCACTATGGCAGACTTTTCTTTTTGTTCAAAACCACTTTCTTTATTTATATATAACACTTGTTCATTTATTTATCTATTTATTTGTTGTGATTTTCAAGCTGCTGGGTCTAGGACTCCAGCCATGGTCTGCCATGTGGGATCTAGTGCCTTACCCACCATGCCAGCAGGCTGTATTTTTCTAAAGGGCTCTGTTAATATATGTACCCAAGCTTTTGGCCAGAACTGCCATCGTCTAGTAATTCACCAAAAAGATGAGCACAAAATTTATTTATTTTTTTATGAAACCTGCTTTTCTTTTTATTTTCTTCTCTGTTAATGGCATCACCATCTAAACATTCATACTTGTTTCGAACTGTGATAATTTATGTCAGGATAAACTATAGCCCTCAGACCAACTCTGACACCTTTCTTTATAAATGAAGTTTAACTAGAACACATCAGAGTTGCGTAGTTGCGACAAAGAGCGTGAAGTTAAAACATTTACTATCTCACCTTCTATAGAAAATGTTTGCCAACGGCTTAGTTGTGTAAGAATGCCCAGCAAAATGATCTCCTAGGATGGGAAAATTTCTGTCCATATTCCTTTTTAAAATATGGCCTTCTCTTTCTGATTCTCCTTCAACTCTTCCTTAATCCCCACTAGCCCAAGTGTCACCTTGTTACTGAACTCTTCGTAAGTCAAGAATAAGAGATGTGAGCCACAGAGAGCAGGAATTGGGTCAGATTGACCTCATATCCTCAACCACACTCAATTAACTGTTGCTTGCATGAGACACACTCTTCAGATTCTGAACTGTCTCACATTTGGGGTCATTTGTGTGTTCCTGTAGATGTTTCATGCAGATCATAGCATTCTTTACCTGCATCTTACACTAGCCTGCCCACAGCTGGTGCTTCTGGGTCATTAAAGGAGAGTCTTTGCATTGGGCAAAAAAGCTCAGAAATGGCATTGTGGGAAATGCAGGAACTTTTGTGAAGGGATAGAACAAGATATTGACTAATTTGTGATAGTACCTTTCATTATCTTAGAATGTATTGTGTATCAACCAAATAATCAAAACAATAAGAAGAAAAGCAGAGTCTAGGTAGCATTGTGTAGAACCTTATGTTTCAACTTTCATCTAAAACAATTAAAAGTATTAATTGTTGGGCCAGCAAGTGGAGTGGGGGTTAAGGTGCTGGATCCCACATGGCTAGCTCTGCAGTTCAAGCCCCAGACCTGGTAGCTTGAAAATCATAATGTAATCATATGATCAATACAATTCTAAGAAAGAATGTGAATATTTTTTAAAAAGTAAGAACAGAAGGGCCAGCTGGTGGTGTGGTGATTGGAGTGATTGGATCCCACATGACCAATTATATGTTTCGAGTCCCAGACTCAGCAGTTTCAGAAACACACTAGATATTATGTGCCCAGAATCTTAAGAGAGGAGAATGGAGGAGAAGTGATTGCAGAGTGACCATGCCCCCTAGGGTGTGATTTCTCATTTTCCCTCTCTCTCTGTCTCTTCTCTCTCTAGCGAGCACATGCCCTATAGCAAAAATCTAGTATAAACTGCTAATATAAATTGAGTATAGATCAATGTTACTTAGAAATATTAAGAAAAAAACATAATTTATTCTGGACTAGTTGAATGGTATTATTAACCCACATGAGTTAAGGTAGATGAGATCAAACGTTGTAAAATATGTCTCTTTTGAGATCTTCTCCAGGTTCTGACTAGACTCATGGCTCTCCTTATCCTCTGTGTTATCAGTGTAGAAAGACTTAAAACTGGTGACCCTGTTTCCTCAGATATTCTGCTGGTCTCAACAGAGAAATCTAAGCTGAGGTTTCTAGGGACCTCTTTGATATTATATTTCATAACTCTATGTACAACGTGGATGGATACCTTTGGGGCATGCAGGACATATTTCAGTCACCCAATAGCTATAGGGCAGCATTAAAATTGATCAAATGCCTTGAACTACATGGACTTATCCCCAAACCTGAGCTGACTATTACGTGAAGACATCAAAAGACAATGAAGGTTACTCTGGGCATGGAGGGATACAGATGGAGCCACAGTGATAAAACAGGAAGGACACTGTGCAAATCTGACCCATTTGAAGAGATTCAGGTTCACTCCCAAAGACCTCCCTGAATACGCAGGGTACTGGCGTGCCTATGACCCATGGTTCTTTCCACTCTCTTTCTCTACATTAGTATTTTATTTTCTGATTATGGCAACAACATAAGTCAATTTTGTAACTTACAAGATAATTTAACAACAACAACAAAAAATCTAAAGACCACAAATAGCCATATATGAGGAGCCTGGTGATGGGGTATTTGAAAATTCTAGTCTCTCTATCTATCTATATCATTTATCTTTCTATATAACTATCATCTATCTTCACATATAATTTGCCAGAGGACACATATACATACTCGAGAGAGACAGAGAGAGAGAAAGAGAAAGAGACCCCACCTTTCGTGGGGAATGGTCACACTGCAATCCTTTCTCCTCCATTTTTCCTTTTGGGATGTTGGGCACCTATGCACACAAGCACCTGGCATGTCTTTTTTTTTTTTTTTTTTTTTAAGAGGATTTTTTTTTTTTTTTTTGCTATAAGGCGCTTGTTCTCACTGGAGAGACAGAGAAAGACAAAGAGAGGTAAAGTGAGAAATCACTCCCCATGGGGAATGGCCATGCCGCAATCCCTTCTCCTCCATTCTCCTCTCGGGATCCTGGGCACATATGCACACACACTCAGCATGAGTTTAAGCCACCGGGTCTGGGACTCGAACCACAGTTGACTACATGGAAGTCCAGCATAGACAGTATACCAACTGCTGGTCCCTGGATTTTAGAATTTCCATAGACTGGGAATTCCTGTGTGCCTTCTATTTCCCCCTCTTTTGAATGAGAGGGTCTATCCTGGTTATCCAATGCCCGAGTCAACATCATACATGGGTGTGTGTAAAAAGAAAACTTGCCTATTCACTTTATAAGGCCTTAAATCTGGAAGGACTGTGTTCTAGAAACTGCACCTGGGATGCTTCATTCACACATGGAGAAGCTTTAGATGGTGAGATCTTGGACTTCGAGCTGATGCCACAGTGAGATGAGCATCTGAGATGAGCATCGAAGGAGGTGAGGAATGTCTTTGCCTTTAGGAGAAATCCGAATTATTGTGAACAGAGTTCACTATGGCAGACTTTTCTTTTTGTTCAAAACCACTTTCTTTATTTATATATAACACTTGTTCATTTATTTATCTATTTATTTGTTGTGATTTTCAAGCTGCTGGGTCTAGGACTCCAGCCATGGTCTGCCATGTGGGATCTAGTGCCTTACCCACCATGCCAGCAGGCTGTATTTTTCTAAAGGGCTCTGTTAATATATGTACCCAAGCTTTTGGCCAGAACTGCCATCGTCTAGTAATTCACCAAAAAGATGAGCACAAAGGGAAAGTAGGAGAGATATCAATACATGTTCTCTAAGCCTTTTAGAAAGCATGGAGTGGTTCCTTTGGCAGCATACATGGGAATCTATAAGACATCGAGTGACTAGGTACTGTTCCAAAAGGAGTGCCTCACAAATGTTACCATGGCAAAACTGGAAGAGTCTACAATGTTACCCAGCATGCTGTTGGCATTGCTGTAAACAAACAAGTTAAGGGCAAGAATCTTGCCAAGAGAATTAATATGCGTATTGAGCATATTAAGCATTCTAAGAGCAGTGATAGCTTCTTAAAATGTGTGAAGGAGGATCTGGCAGGTGGTGTGGTGGTTCAGGGCACTGGACTCCCACATGGCCAACCGTAGTTCAAGTCCTGGACCTGGTGGCTTGCTTTCTAACTTTGCCTCTCTCTCTCTCTCTCTCTGCCACTTTCTGGCCAAATTAAAATAAATTAATGAATAAATAAAATTAAATAAATAATTTTTGGCAAAAAAAGTTTAAAAAAATGTGAAGGAAACTTATCAGAAAAAGAAGAAAGCTAAAGAGAAAGGTACCTGGGTTCAATTGAAGCGCACCAGCCTGCTCCACCCAGAGAAGCACACTTTGTGAGAATCCATGGAAAGGAGCCTGAACTTCTGGAACCTATTCCCTATGCATTCATGGCATGATGGGTGTTAAAAATAGATTAAACTGGGACTGGCAGGTGGTGTGGTAGTTAAGGCACTGGACTCTTATATGGCCAACTACAGTTGGAATCCCAGACCTGGCAACTTGCTTTCTCACGTTTGCTCTGTCTGTATGTGTCTCTTTCTGGACAAATTAAAATAAATGAGTGAATAAATAAAATAAAATAATTCATAAAAATAATGAATTTTTAAAAAATAGACTAACCTATGGTCTATAAAAATGTTTTTCTTAGTTGAGTAGAATTATGTTCCCTCCCCCAAAGCAAAGTTTAAATGGGCTCTAATTCATTTGGTAATGTTGTTACACAAATTTAGTGGTTCTTAGCTGAAAGATGTTAGGTGGCTGATTATGCAACAAATAAAACGCAGTTGGTTAGGAAAAAATAATATATGTACCCCAATGCACATGTTCTTCTTACAATGTGACTGTACGTGTAGGCTTTCTACTTCTTAAAAAGAAAACGAGCTTGCTGTACAACAGTATGTGGCATGCGGTAGCAGCCTTGCACACTTCATGTCTACCTTAGGAGTCTCTGCTGTATCAGTCTCGCACTGCTGTGCCTGATGGACTCTGGTGTGTGCTTGTCCATCATGGCCCCTGAGCGATAGGCTATCCGGTGATGGCCGGGCTGTGTGGTAAGGCTATGTGGTCTAGGCTTGTGTAATGATATTCTATGATGTTCACACGACCACGCGCTGGGGAAGGACACGTTCTCAGAATATATCCCGTTAAGGCTGAACAGAGGGAGAGGTACCCCAGCTGCCTTTCATGGAGCACCCCCTCCCAGTTAATGGTCTAGGGTTGAGAGAGCCGTGTCCCTGGGGTTCAGAGCACAGAAGGGAACCTGTCCTGGACTAGCGCTTTGGGGAGCAGGCCCCCCTGGGGCTGGGCAGGCAGCACAATTGCCTTCACACTTCCAGGAGAGCAACCTGTCCCAAGCCTCAGGTGAGAGGCTTCTGACCTCTGCTCTCTTCCTCCCCAAAGTGGAGCAGAGAGAAAGTGACTCCCCAGGACGTCTATGAATACATCCCAATTTCCGCACTTGGGGAATTCGGAGGCAGTACAGACGCACTCCCTTCGCGGTGATATTTACCTGGAAACGCGAATGAGGCAGATGTCAGACCCACGGAGAGAGCACACAGGTAACTCAGAGGTGAGCCGGGCCTGGCCCCACCGGGGTGCTAAGCCTCCCGCTGGCCCCTCGGTGGAGACCCAACACCATCTGTCCTGAGGTTCTTCCTGACAGCCGCCTCCAGGTGCGCACGTCCGCAGGCCTGTGTTAATCCCAGGCCCCTTTCCAGGCAGTCTGCCCTGGCGCTCAGCCCCTGCCTGGAAGCCCCCCTCCCGCGCCCAACGGCCCCCCTTCCCATGGCCCGGGGAGTTGCTCATTGCGCCGCAGATGCGCTGCCAGGAAGGTCACGTCCAGCGCCCACCCTGCAGGTATATAAAGACCAGGGAGAGCGAAGGGGACAAGCGGCGGAGGAGAAAGAGGGGGAAGCGAAGTGGCCGAGGGAGGCCGCTGAGCACCTTCGCCCTCAGGGAGCAGCTTCTCCGCAACAGGTAAGGGCGCAGCGGCGTGGACCCCATGCCCCGGGGCCTGGGAGTGTTCGCGGCCGGCTCGGAAGCGGTTCCTGGCCAACTTTCTGCGCTGGCTGCAGCGAGAGAGAAGCGGTTGGCGGGAGAGCGGCTGGGGGCCTGCATCCGGACGGGGGCTAACGACTGCGATGCTGCGGGCGGCGCCTTCCCGGGAGTTGGCGGCCTCGGCTCCCCCGAGGACTCGCTGTCGGCGGGGCCGCAGCTCCTCGCGGGGAAACAGAGGCAGTGGGCTGTTAGGGCTCAGGAGAGCGCGGCCTTTTGCTCTTCCCCTCTGTTTTCTAGCTAGGTGTTCTTCGAGTAGGACTTGGTAGACTCTAGCGCAAAGTTATGTTGGAGATGCGGGCAGGAGAGAAAAGGCCAAAAGTCACAAATAAAACGCCCTGCATTTCTGATGTTCTTGGACCCCTGAATTCTCCTTTCCCTGTCCACTCTGGCTCACCCGGGCGGTCGCCCTATCATAATCACACGATTCTTGGGTCAATTACAAATCAGGCTACTTGGGTCCCTGTTCTCCAAGACCCAGCTGAGTCAAAAGTAGGTAGCTGGGCGGGAACTGTCCACGGTGCTGAAACAGCCTGCCTCGGTCGGGCGCCCTCCACCCCACCGCAGAGCCGACCCTGTAGCCAGCAGATGCTGGGGCGCTGGGTGAGGGCAGCTGTGTGAACCGACGGAGGCTCAGACAATAGGTCTTTCCAGTGAAGAGGGGGCAGTCCACTGCGCCAAGGATTTCCAAATTCTTCATGTATTAATGGGGTGGAGGTGGTTCTCACTGTATGCCTGGAAGGAGCCAAGGAAAATACAAGCGTGCGAGTGTTTCACCGGTTTATAAGGTATGTACAGATCATGGCTAATTTAGAACTTAAGGTTCCCTTGATACTTTTGTTATAAGATTCCCTCGTTACTTTTGACATGCATTAGAGGGGGAAAGGGGCAAGGATAAAACTCTGCACCTCTTCCCCTCTAATCTTTTATTTTGTTTCTTTCATGAATGAGTGAGAGGGATAGAGAGAGACAGGGACAGAGTCAGAGAAACAGCACGCACAGCGGGGTCTTCCCACTGCAATTTTCCTTCCGTTTCAGCCAACCCCAGATCACGGGCACATTGTGTTCCCAGTGTGCTAATGGTGGGCTCTGGGCACATACCTGGAACCTTCCCATTCGGGTGATACTTGCAGAACATTCTGTTTCACTACTGTGCCAGCATCTTCTCTGATTTGTAAGAGACACATGGCCAGTGTACAGTTTTAGAGTAATGAGCAAAATGTTTTAACTGATAGAAAGTTGCAACACACATATGAAGTCTTAATAAGTGTAGTTCTATTATAAGGTTAATATCAAGATTAAAAATTCTGGGCTTCTGGGGCCAATAGATGGCATAATGGTTTCATGACTGGACTCTCATGTAGTTGACCACGGTTCAAGTCCCGGACCTGGTGACTTAAAATTCATGCCAGGCTCATGTGCATGCATGCCCAAGATCCAAAGAGAAGAATGAAGGAGAAGGGATAGCATTGTAGCCATCCCTCCTGGAGGGTGATTTCTCATTTTCCGCCTCTCTGGCTCACTCTGTCTCTCCAACTAGCGCATATACCTTAAAGCATAAATTGCTCTCTAAAAACAAAACAAAACAAAAAAAAGCAAAACAAAAACCTTTCTAAAAAAAATCCTGGATTTCTATTTTTCCAGGTCTTTCACTCATTAGATAATATTCTCCCTACTTACCAGAAGCACATTTGACATCTCCCATTATTTTGTTGCCTTTTAAAAAATGACACAAATAAGGTAATATTTGTTCATTATAAAAAGATTAAACATACACAGATGGTGGGTAACTTGGAGGTTGAGACTATGGATCCCTCATGACTGATTCTGCAGTTTGAGTCCCTAACCTAGTGGCTTAAAAATCATGCTGTGCGTATGTGTGTGTATGCCCAAGGTCCTGAGAGGAGAGTGGAGGAAAACAGATTGCAGGGTGGCCATGCACCTGATAGGGTGATTTCTCACTTATTCCCTCTCTCTCTCTCTCTCTTTCTGGTGAGTGCAGGCATCCTATAGTTAAAAAAATTTTAAAAGTAAAAAATAAAAAGATACACAGATGATCAGAATGGCCATTGTTGAGTTGAGGAGAACTTTTAAGGGTACTTTCAGAGATAAACAATTTTTTTTTTTTCTCCACTGATATGCTCTTTTACACTTGCCCATGGTGACATGGCATTTTGGGGCCTCCCTTAAAATACCTGGGGATTTTTCTGACCTAAATGTATAGGGTGGTCGTGCCTGGAGCTTTAATATAATTGGCTTGTCTACCGGCTTCAGGCTTAGTACGTGACCTGGAGCATCGCTAGCTACAACAGGAGCAGGCTGACTGGTGGGGTGGACACCAAGGCTGACCGGCGCTTTCTCAGTTGCCCCTTTCACAGAGGAGCTGCTGGGCTGGCCCGCTGGCTGCCAGCGCCATCTAATGGCTGCTGCGACAATGCTCAGCCCTTGCCTGGCAACAGTTCAAAAGCAAGCCCTGAGCTGGCCCAGCTGTGGGTAATGAAGTGAGGGGCGGGGCAGAGAAGGAAGTGGCTTCCGGAAATAGACAAAGAGGGCTGGGGAGGACTTTCACTTCAGAAGCCTCCCCTATAAAAAGGATTTGAACTGTGCCTCCCCAAACAGGAGACTTCTTTTTAGGAAAACTTATTTTCTTTCACTTTCTTCTTCTTCTTCTTTTTCTTTTCTTTTCTTTTTTTCACTGAAGAGCCTGTGTGCTCCACAGAGGGAGTGGAGAAAGCACTCCCCATGAGGAATGGTCACGCTTTCCCTTCTCCTCCCCCTCCCCCTCCTTTCAGGATTGTGGGCTTGCACATGCACGAGCCAGGTGGGTTTCGCAAGCCACAAGGTCTGGGACTTGAACCCTATGGTCAGCCCTATGGGATCTGGCTGCCTTAATGACCAGACCATAGAGCCAGTCCAGGAAAACCTTATTTCCAAATGCAAATGTTCATTAGAAGTGACAAAGCACTTAGCTATCCACACCTTGAGGTGAATTACTTTTTTCATCTAATCAAGATTCTTCCTAACAGTTAGCTAAGAAGACCTTCTGAAATCCAAAATGATGGTAGGGTTGAAAGTAAGCTGATGAGAAACCTCTGGGGGGCTTCCAGGGCTCAGGCTGGGGGAGAGACTGGGGAGAGGACTGAGCGCCAGGGTCGAAGCCACCATGGTGCTCTCCTCTACTGCATCCTGACCGCTTGACCTCAGCATCTGCCCAGAGGTACTTTGTAGATGCTCTGAAACTTACACCCTCTTCAGGTCCAGCAATTTCAGAGCATGTCTGAGAGACGTACAGAACCAGAGGTCTAACATGTAAGGTGTTCGGAAGATGAGTCAGTTTTGAGATCTGTTTTTTTTTTTTTTTCTTTAAAAATTATTTTCTTTAACTTTATTTACTTATTTTATTTGACCAGAGAGGGACAGAATGAATGAAAAAGGTCTGGGACTCGAACCACAGTCGGCCATGTGGGAGTTCAGTGCCCTTAACCACCACATCACCTGCTGGTCCCAAGATTTATTCTTAAAACAGATCTTGGGGGACCAGCAGTTAGTGTAATGGCTATGTCTCTGGACTCCCATGTAGTCGACTGTGGTTCGAGTCCTGGACCCGGTGGCTTAAATTCATGCCGGGCGCGTGTGCGTGCATCCCCCCTGGGGGGTGATTTCTCGCTTTCTGTCTCTCTGTCTCTCTCTGTCTTTCTGGCGAGCCCATGCGCCCTATGGCAAAAACCTCTCAAAAAAAAAAAAAAAAAAAAGAAAAACAAAACACACAGATCTCGGGGTGGCGTGGTGGTTAAGGGCGCTGGAGTCCCACATGGCTGATGGCTATTTGAATCCCAGACCTGGTGGCTTGCTCTCTCTTCCTCTCTCTCTCTCTTGCTCTAACCCTCTCTGGTCAAATTAAAATAAGTAAGTAAACAAATAAAGTTGAATAAAATCATTCTTAAAAAAAAAGAATAAATCTCCCTGAGTCCAGCAAGTGGCTGGATCTCACACGTGGTTCGAGTCCTGGATCCGGAGGCTTGAAAAGCATACAAGGCATATATGTATGCATGCCCAAAATCCTGAGAGAAGACTGGAGGAGAAGGGATTGTGGCGTGGGCATCTCCCCCCAGGGGGTGATTTCTCACTTTTGGTCTGTCTTACTGGTGAGCACATATACCCTCTGACAAAAATCTGAAAAAATAAAATAAATCTTTCCAAAGTTGCTAGGGTCTGTGAAATAGTGATCATCTGAATTACTAGTGTACAGGACATCAAATCAGGTTGTCTGAGGTCTTGACTAAATTATGATTTTATTTGCTTTTATGCGAACTTAATATTAATAGGAAATGTAGTTTCAGAGAAACGAGACAATCCTGGTGGAGGAGGTGGGAAAGAACCATCTTGAACAGCTATTTCAGATTCCTCTGTCATTTCCAAGTCACTTCCACCCCTTGGGCCTGGAGTGTCGGGACGACAACGTCACGCAGGTAGTGAACTGAGAAATCTGTGCTGGAAGCAGAGCACGGCCTCGCCTCGTCATGTACGTGAAAGTAATTCTCTCTCTCTGTGTTTCAATTTCCTCCTCTCTTAAGTGAGAGGCCAGATGAAGTGACTCCAAAGATAGCGTCTGGCCCTACCATTTTTAGGGGCCTAATTTTTAAAAAAGAATTATTTTATTTAACTTTACTTATTATTATTATTTTCCAGTTTGATCAGAGAGAATGAGTGAGAGAGAAAGTGAGAAAGCAAACCACCAGGTCCAGGACTTGAACCGCAGTCAGCCATATGGGAATCCAGTGCCTTCAACCACCATGCCACCTGTTGGCCCCAGGGGCCTAATTTTAATAACCAATAAAGGGGAAGTTGTCATGGTTTACCTAGGTCTCACTCTCCTCCCCACCATAGCTCACGCCATCACCCTGCACACCTCCCTTCTCCGCTCTGTCCTCAAACAGCCCTGAAATGCACAGCGAGAAGTTGTTAATGTTGGCTCCCAGTCCTTCCTGGTGAGTGGCCAACATTGTTCTGCTCCTTGCAGGGGTCCCACCAATCTTGTTTGCTTCTGCAGAGTCCCAGCCTTCTCAGAAGATGCGGAGATTGTGCTACAGCCGCCCGGGGGCCCTCCTGCTGGCCTTGCTGCTTCAGGTCTCCATGGAAGTGCGTGGCTGGTGCCTTGAGAGCAGCCAGTGTCGGGACCTCACCACGGAAAGCAGACCGCTGGTACGTGGGCTGTAGCCACCATCTTGGTTTGGGCAAGATGGGACTGGGGCTGGGACAGTTCAAAAGGAAGGGATGTGGGGAAGGGAAAATTCATTCCCACTGATAGGGGTGATTCAACCCAGGGCAGGCAAACTTAGTGATGAAGTTAGTAAGGGGAGGAAAAAGCTTCAGGAGATGATCTGGTTTACAATTGCTGCTTGATGATTCTTTTTTTCTTAGAATTATTAGTTTTTAAAATAATTATTTCATTTAACTTTATTTATCTATTTATTTATTTTAATTTGACCAGAGAGGGACAGGGTGAGAGAGAGCGAAAGTGAGAAAGCAAGCCACCAGGCCTGGACTGAAACTGCGGTCGGCCATGTGGGAATCCAGCATCCTTAACCACCACGCCACCTGCTGGCTCTCTTAGAATTATTTTAACTTTTTATTTATTTAAAAAATTCTGACCAGGACAGAGCAAGAGAGAGGGAAAGCAATAAAGCAAGCGGCGAGGTCTGGGACTCGAACCATAGTCAACCATGTGAGAGTCCAGGGCTCTTAACCACACCGCCTGCCAGCCCTGCCTTCTATGGAGACCTCACACCATTTAAACTATTTAGAGATAGTGCCAGAACGACAACAGCTCCCTAGTCTATCCTACATTTTCAATCTTGTGGCCCCCAAATGAGTCCTAATTGAAATGACCTCATCTCACTTGCCATTTCCACTCCATATGTCTTCCCCTTTTATCTACTATCAGTGACAAAGCCAGCGAGGTAGTTCTGCAGATCGTCTCTAGAGACAGAAAGAAAAACCAAGGTACCATTTTTCTGTAGCCGGTGCCAAATGTCTCCTGTTTTTCCTAGAGAACTAACCTTCTGCCAAGTTCCTCTTCAGTCTTTTCTGAAGGATGTAAAGGCTTTTGATGCCAGACTGGAGTTCTTTCCAGGTCCCCACAGGTGGTGTGCGTGTGTGTGTGTGTGTGTGCGTGTGTGTGTGTTGGGGGCATAACTGAGAGATTACACCAAGTCGAAGGATTAAAAAGTACACTATGGTATCAGTGACTGAGCATCCGTCCTGCTGACAGCACCTGCTTCGTGGGGGGTGGAATGCACATCACTGTATTCTGTGTGTTTTGTTCAGGGAGACACTGAGTTAAGGTGAAGGCAGAGACTTCCTTAGAGACAGAGCAGGTTTCATGCGTACAACGGAAATAAAGAGCCCATGGGGCTCTGTGAGTTCTAGTGGAGAGAGACCCAAGAGTCCCTTGATTTGAGACACTCCCTACACAGTCCCTCTGGATGAAAGCTCGGCAGGGAAGGACCACTGGATACAGTTAGAGCCCACGGGTTCTAGTCCACGTTCTGTCACCAAGGAGCTGTGTGACTTTGACCCATCTCTCTCTGAACCTCCTGTTTTATGACCTATCTAGGGGGAGTGGAGAGTTTAGATACTATTTATTTCCCACAGTATTATTATTCTGTAATAAGTTTCTGGAGTAGGAAACTGCCAACTCAGTAGGGTGGGTGGACCCTTCTGTTTTCTTCTCTGCAGTGCCTTGGTAGCCAAAAACTCCAGGTTACAGCCCAGGGGTCCTCTTCCTAAGCGAATAGGGGCCAGCGCTGAGTTCTCTAGGGACAGGGAGCAAACAGGCTCCGTGGCCCGAGCAGAGAAAATAACCCTAGCATTCCATTCCTCCCTCCAGCCAGACTGAAGTGACAGCGAAATAAACCACCCTGTCCCAAGCTCACTGGGGGAAGGGACGACAGGAGGATCAGCCCAGAAGGCCTGAAAGAACCAGGGAAGGGCCCATGAGCATGGGAAAGGTTTGAGGCGAGGGCAGGGATAAGACGGGAAAGGCCGACAGTGGGTTTGCAGATCAAGGCGGCAAGGGTGAGGCAGGTCAGAGAAGTCAGGCTTCTCTCGCCCACCCCATTTCAGCTCCATGCGTTCCCAGACTTGAACAATACGCATTTCAGATTAAGTGCCAGGTACCACCCGTCTGCCTTTTCGGAGGCAATTCCTATATATCGAGCACAAAACGGCACGAGGTTGACCCTGCTCCCCAAAGCCACGTGGTGGGGGCGCAGGCTGGAAGGCACCAAGCAGGAGGGGTGTTTGCCGTAGCCGTCAGACAGAAGTCCAGGGGCGCCAGGACAAACGAGGCCATGCACGAGGTGTCAGACGACGGCCACGAGCGCGGGGGCGAGGCAGGCCCACGGCTGGGCAGGGAGCCCTCGGGGCCCGCCGTGCTGCCTGCAGCTGGCCACGCTGGCGCAGGCGCAGTGCAGTGGTGGGGCCGGGTGGAGCTGGGGTCCCGGGCTGCGCTCGGTCCCCAGCCGCACTTAGGCCTGGCGCTCTTCCCCAGGAGTGCATCTGGGCCTGCAAGCCCCAGCTCTCCGCCGAGACCCCCGTCTTCCCCGGCAACGGCGAAGAGCAGCCGCTGACCGAGAATCCCCGGAAGTACGTCATGGGCCACTTCCGCTGGGACCGCTTCGGCCGCCGGAACAGCAGCAGCGGCGGCGGCGGCGTGGGGCAGAAGCGCGAAGACGAGGTCGCGGCTTCCGGTGGGGCAAGCCGGTGGGCAAGAAGCGGCGCCCCGTGAAGGTGTACCCCAACGGCGCCGAGGACGAGTCGGCCGAGGCCTTCCCCGTCGAGTTCAAGAGGGATCTGGCGGGCGAGCGGCCCGAGGCGGCCCCCAGCCCCGACGGCCTGGACGAAGGCGCGGCGGCGCAGGCCGACCTGGAGTACGGCCTGGTGGCGGAGGCAGAGAAGAAGGACGAGGGGCCCTATCGGATGGAGCACTTCCGCTGGGGCAGCCCGCCCAAGGACAAGCGCTACGGAGGCTTCATGACGTCCGAGAAGAGCCAGACGCCCCTGGTGACGCTGTTCAGAAATGCCATCATCAAGAACGCCCACAAAAAGGGCCAGTGAGGCGCCGCAGGACCCGGGGTCTTCTCCCCCCCGGGGAAGGCGTCCCTGAAGACCCCTCTCATTTGCCCCCCTGCCGCCTCCCAGCCTGAGTGTGCTACTCACTCAGGTCCTTGGAAGCGGCAGATACCCAGCATCGTCAGTAGTCTGTAGTTAGGAAATAAAATCTTTCACATTTCACATCTGACTCTTGACTTTGAATGCACACTGTGTGAGTGAAATAAAAATACACAGCCATCCAGGGAGAATTGCAGATATTGAAGGAGCAACATAATAGTTTATTTCATAGGATAGAGATAGCCAGAATGGAAAAAAAGGCATTTCCTCCTGTCACCCCCAATAAATGGACGAAGTAGATTGAGTGGTGACTCGGAATGGCCCCACGTCCAACACCCAGTGGAAGGCTTCATTTTCCACCCTCTAGTGGGCAGGAAAGATCGTTCCACGAGATGTGGGTCACACAAGAGTGACTTCAGGGGACCAGGAGATGGCGTAATGGTTAGCTCTCTGGACTCCCACACGGTCCAGACTGGTGGCTTCAAACTCATGCCTAGCATGTGCATGTGAGTGCAGATCTCAAGAGGAGACTGGAGGGGAAGGGATTGTGGCATGGCCACCCCCGGGAGTGTGACTTCTCCCTGTCTCTCTGTCAAGCTCATGTGCCCTATAAGAAAAAGACCACGGTAAAAAAAATTGACCTCAGGAAATCCTCTGGCTCTCTTTCACCTCCAAAAGCAAGCTGGGCATGGGTTGAGGCCCACGCATGACTGGAGGGGGCTCTCTGGGCTGTCAGGTAGTGAGTGATACCTCGCCGGGTCTGAATTCTGACTGCTTGTAGCTGTGTGACATTAGGCGAATCTCTTCAACATCTCTAATCTACATTTGCCTTCCTAGTGAGAGCTAGTATGAGGTTTAAAGGAGAAAGTGAATGTGACTATCTTGCTTACTGAGAAGCTAAGTATGAGAACTGAGATTTTTTTTTTTGGAGAGAATTTTTGCTATAGGGTGCGTGCGCTCACCAGACAGACAGAGAGAGACATAGAGACAGAAAGTGAGAAATCACCACCCAGGGGTGATGGTCACGCCGCAATCCCTTCTCTTCCATTCTCCTCTTGGGATCCTGGGCACGCACGCATACGCGCCCGGCGTGAGTTTTAAGCCACCGGCTCCGAGACGCGAACCGCAGTCGACTATGTGGGAGTCCAGCGACATAAACGTAACACTAACTGCTGGTTCCCCGAGAGCTGAGATTTTTTTTTTTAACAACTTACTTTTATTAATTATTATTCATTTTTATTCGTTTGCTATAGGGCACATGAGCTCACCAGGGGACGAGAGAGCAAAAGTGAGAAAGCAAGCTGTTAGGCTTGGGACTCAAACCCTGGTTAGCTGTGTGGGATTCCAGCATCTTAACCACCATGCCACCCACTGGCCCAAGAGCTGAATTGTCAGTTCTAATTTGCACTACCAGGCTACTCATAGTCTAAAGCCCATGGTTTTAACTCCTCTTCACATACACACCCATGTATTTCTTCCAGCCTCTCAGGCGTGAGCCTTTTCCTCTTGCTGTGCCAGACTCCTCCCTCTGCCCTTTTGATTCTCAGTGCTCTCCTCTCAGGCCTTGACTATCACACCAGTTTCCTAACCAACTGGTCTCCTTGACGATTTTTCTCTTCACAACCTATGTATGCAAACTCTATTATTGTATGCAAAACTCTTGCTTTCCCCACATTTCCTGGCTGCAGAGCCAACACTACCCACATCCCCCAATTTTCCAGGAATTCATGGCATGCCAGACCCTTGTCAACTGAGCTCACTCTCCCCTGCCATTTTGAATGCTACTTTTCTCAACATGCATCCAGGCTCATCAACCTCTGCTGGACAGCTGTGATCTCTTACAGCCATTGCTGCTCATTTTCAGTATTTCTGCAGTCAACTCCTCCCTGCTGGAGGGCTCGGATGGCAAGTTACTTTCTGCATGAGTGATTACTTTTCCTCTAGAAGAAAGTCTAAACTCCACAAGAACAGAAGCCAAGTGTTGAGTTTATTTTTTTAGGTTTTTGCAATAGGGTATATGTGCTTGCCAGAGAGAGACAGAGAGAAGGGAAAAGTGAGAAATCACCCCCTACCGGGGATAGCTATGCCACAATCCCTTCTCCTCTTTTCCTCTTGGAATTTTAGGCAGGCATGCACACACATGCCCGGTGTTTTTTTCAAGCCACTGGGTCTGGGACTTGAACCATGGTCAGCCATGTGAAAATCCAGCATTTTAACCACCATGACACCTGCTGGCCCCGCTGGTTTCTTTTTTATCTCCCCACAGTATTTTCACAATGTTGGGGCTATGGGCTTGTGGCCACACACATTTACAATTTATAAGAAGCTCACAGATACATACATACAGAAATGTCCACATACATGTGAATTGCATGGGGCATGTCAGTGGATGATACATACTGGGAACATCTACATATGGCACCTACACATATACCCTCATTTTTAATGTTCTGGGAGTTCAAAATAAAATTGAGAATGCCCCTTGGGAAGTCCTACTGTGAGGGGGTCAGAAAGCCAGGTTTCTCTTTTTTTTTTTTTTGAGAGGTTTTTGCTACAGGGCACATGCACTCACCAGAAAGAGAGACAGAGAGACAGAAAGTGAGAAATCACCCCCCGAGAGATGACCACACAGCAATCCCTTCACCTCCACTCTCCTTTCCGGATCCTGGGCATGCATGCACACGCGCCCGGTGTGAGTTTAAGCCACTGGGTCCAGGACTTGAACCACGGTTGACTGCATGAGAGTCCAGTGACAGCTGTTATGCCAACTGCTGGTCCCCAGAAAGCCGGATTCTTAAGAGCAGGCCTCTGGCAGTGTGGGGTATATGAAATGTGCTAAGGAGGACTTGCCCAGGTCTTTCTGAGGATGCTCCCATGCTGGGGATCCCGGGCCTTTGGTTTCCACCTGGCAACATCCTTTCCTTCCCTCTTTCCGTCTGAGGCCGGTGAAGTAATGGGGGTGGGGGCGGGGTGGTTAAATGTCAGCCTACACTGTTGGTATTTTCAGATTCTATTTGCATCCCCCGAAACCATTTCCTTTAAAGAAATCAAACAGCCAAGCATGTGGTGACCACATTAACATTTATTTGAAAAGGGCATCGTGAAGGCTTATTGGGGAATCACATCTAATGGTCCTCAAGAGTGATTTGGCTAAGTCCTTCCTACGCATCCCCTCACTCTTTTTCCCCTTGCCTAAAACAAATTCATTTGATGAGTTCAAAATACAGAAAACTGCCACAGGCACTAATTCTGCACTCACCTATAAACACAGCAGCTACTATATACATATATTGTCAACCACAAACTACATTACACACACCAGCACGCACACGGGCACACACACTCAGCCAGGCTATGAAGGTCTGAACGGACAGACACATCCTAACATCCGGGCCGCAGCATTCGTGGATGGATCTTGCCCTCTATTTGCCAGAATCGACAGTCATGAAGGAAGAGTTCCAAAGGGAAGGTGATGGGCTGAAGCCCCGTGGTCCCCCGAAGGAGAGACCACCTGGTTAGCCAGCCTGGTGCCACAGGAGAGCACAGAAAACTGCCTCTGTCCCCACCAGGGCCACAGAACCCTTCCCCTGCCCTGTGTCTCCCTCTCACCACTTCCCCAACTAGTCTGGCTCCAGACAGGGCCCACTTGAACATTCTGCTGCAGTCTTCGACCTTGGCTGGATTTAGGGCAAGGGGTCACAGATTTCTGGGGTTAATGGGATGAAGTGGCAACACCCTGCCCTAAACCTTCTCCCTTGAAGCAAGGATGCCTTGCTACAGCATGACCCAGGGTCTGGGCCACAGGGCTGGCCTGGCCTAACCTGATTTCCCTTTAAGCCTAAAACTCAGCTCTTTTCTTCAGGCCTCCAACTGATCAGCTGCCATTTCCTAGACATGAAGAGGAACTGGGAAAAACACTTCCACATCTCAAGGGCACTCTCTATAGCCAGGCTGGAAGGATTGGGGACAACAGAATGGCAGCTGGAAAGTGTGACGTAGGGGCCCCACAGAAGCCCAGAGGCCTGCCATTTAGGAGACCCTCAAGGCTGCACTGATTTTCAGTGCAGTTGAAATGTGTCCCGGGGGACCCAGCATACCCAGGCAAAGGGCGGCCCATATATGACACTTGTGCTTCTTTAAGTACCTCTCTGGGTCCCAGGCTCCTCCTCTTCACTGCTCATCGATGTGGAGTTGTGTGTGTGTTGGGGGGTGGGAGTGCTGGACAAAGGCAAGGATCTGAGGACCTTTCTAGTTCTTCTGACCTGCTCAGGCTCCTTTTCTAATGAGGTGGCAGTTGAGTTGAGAGACCACTTATTTCTATTTTCCAAAGAGAGGAAAATGGGAACAGGCGTAGGGCACTGGGGACCCCATTCAAGGAATACAGGAGGAGCCTCCAGGGTCATACTGGGGCTTCCTGATCTGCTTATGTATCTGCACAACTCAACGGAACAAACAGAATTTCCAAACCTCAAGTCCACTCATGCCTGTCAATGTTTATCAGGGGATACGAACCAGCCCTACCTCTGCCTACAGAGCCAGAGGCCTCGGTGGCTTTCCGAGGGGCTTGCTACCTCTTCTTAGCTCAAATATCACAACAGAGGAAAGTATCAAATGGGACCCGAAACAGAGGGCTTGGAAGACAGGGCACAGTGACACCAGGCTAAGGGCCCAGGCACTTTGCTCGCCTCAGGAGTCCATCGAACTCTGCTCTGCCCCTTTCCCAGGATGTACTGGGAGCTGAGGAGGCTACTTAGCTTACCATTCAATTATCCACCTAACACTCTCCCTAACCTCCCCAACTCCGAGGCACACTTGGCCAGAATCCAGGTTCTACACCATGTGAACACGCAACCTAATATTCTATCCAGTGTAGATGTAAACGGCAGCTGAGAAGAGGGCACTAAAAAAATGGCCAGTTCCCCGGAAAAAGCACATCTCTACCAAGCAGTGGTTGGTGATGTAAAACAAAGCTACCTTGGACAGGTGGAGAGAAAAGAGCAGTTGAGCCTACGCGGAGCGGGCACCCTGCATCTTTCTCTTCTTTCTGTTCCCAGGAGGAGGCTGAGGGACAGACATCTGAGCAGACCTTCAGTTCTCTGGTCCTGATGCCGGCTCTAGAAAGATGCTCCAAGGAAATGATTCCCAAGGCCCAGAACTAGGGCCTCACAGGCAGGGCTCAGGGTGAGGTCTCCTGAGGATCGACCCATAGATTCATGAAAGCAATGGGAGGCTCTCGTCCAAGTCAAGCATTGGATGGGAAGATCCAGTGCAAAATGATATGTTTGTGACTCAAGATTTAGATTTTCTTTAAAGTTTCTTCTACAGATGATTTGCCTTTGAGTTTGTTTAAAGTTATTTCAAACTTGGCTTCTTAATACAGAGTTATTAAAGAGAAATCTAAGGTCATGCTTATAAAGTTGGTTGAATATAAGCCAAAAGCCAGAGAGCACAGCCAAAAGGCTCCAGGGGAAGCAGGAGCCTCTCCCGGACCCCGTGAACATGCAGGCCATCAGGAAGCCACATGCCCACAGCACAGAGGCAGGGACCAAGGGGACAGCAGCATCCACAGTGGGGAGCTACAGGGACAAGGGTTAGGCAATCCACCTCCCCAGGAAGTGTTTCACACACATGGTGAGGAAGTGCACGTGTTCGCATCCTGCCTGGCTTTCGAACACACACCCATCGGCCCTCGTAGTTAGGCTCTCGCCATCCTGTCGGGCGGGGTGTGATCTGAGGGTGTTTTAGCAGAAACATCCTACTTTGGCCCCCAGGTCATACTGCCTAAGATGTATCCTATAAGGGGTTCTTTTAGGTCAAGAAATACACTCATCCTCTCTCCTTTTAAAAAGCAAGTTCTCCAAGGAGGGAGCATTTGACCCTTCACACCTTAATGTGAGTTATCAGCTCAGAAACACTATGAAAGTTTCCACTGGAAGAGAAGGAAAGGGCCATTTCAGACCTTCAGGGGTTACCTCAGGGAAGGCCCAGGGAGGTTCTGCCTGCGATGTCCCTGGAGGCACACAGGCACCTGGAAGGGCAGGAAGGGGCAACGAGGGCCCCGCTCTGCACCAGTTCTCTCTGTACTCACTACTTACACAGACAGACAGACAGACAGGTAGGCAGGCAGATGACAGCGGGGAGAACAGAAGCCAGAACTCAAGGGGTCCCCAATGCCTCTACCTAGGCCACACATTGCCAGTTGGCACTGTTGTCCCAGATCTTGTCCAGAGTGACAAAATCATTCCAATATGAATTGCTGGATCCTTCTTTGCTTGAATGGAACATGCAGTATATTGGCTTCCGACATCCTTAGGCTCCCAAATCCAACTCCTTCTCCTCTTCCCTCCTCCCTTCCTCCACACCCCAGCCCCACTCGGGCAAGACGGAGACCCTTTTCCACAGGCAGTAATGGGGGTATGGCTCTTTTGGAGCCACCTAGAACCAGATGATCAACCCAGAGGCTCTAGAAACACCTTGGGATCCTCAGGAGAAAAACATCAGAGAAAGAGAGAGAGAAAACCCAATTCAGAGAAGCATCCAGAAGGTGGAGAACTCGTGGAGTGCCAATGCAAGGAGCTGAGAAGATGCTATCAAGGGACAAGGGCTCGCCCACTGTGCTCCTAGAGCTGCAGGAGGCAGCTCCCACCGCCACCCGCCACCACTGTCTATCACCTGGACAGCTCGCCCTTCCCTACATCCTTTGCTGCCAGCCTTCCCTTCCTCCGACCCCTGTGGCTAAACACTAACAGACTCCAGGAGGGTGAGCACGGGAGTGGAAGAGACACCATCGACTCAATGGGGAGGCGGGAGAGAGCAGACGGTTATCTTCCAGCCCTTGCCCCTGCACGTCCTTAGGGGAGCTCTCGCCGGCCCTCCCGAGTGTAGTCAGTGGCTCCCTTTGACTGGCCAAGTCTCTGTCTAGTTCCCTTCTCAGGGAATGGCAGATGTGCCCCCACAGCTGCACCCCCAGTGAAAGCCCTTCACTCAACACACTACGTGGAAGTTTCTTGGGCCCCTCAGCCTCTCTGCAGACACCCCCATGACTCTATACCCCTGGCTGACACAAAGAAGACAAGGGGTGCAGGTGAGATGCTTATTGGTCCCCAGGGCCAGATGGCTGGCTCTGAGACAGGAGGAGGCAGGAGGACCAGGAAGGACTGGGGGGAGGCCTGGGGGCTCTGGCTTTGCTTAGCTGGAGAGGCGCTGTCATCCAAAGACACTCGAGAGATCCCAGCCGGATGTCCATGTGAGGGCGAGTGTGAGGGTGAACCCCGCTTCCTCAGGCTCCGGCCCTCCGAGGAGCTCCATCTGAGAACTCAGTACACACACAGGTCGGGGAACTTCATCTCATAGACCGGGATGGAGTGGTTCTGTGGTTGACCGTAGGCTGCCGTGATGGTCCCCGAGGGGCTCGGTGGGGGCCTGGGGGCAGGAACACATGGAGAGAAAGGCGTGAAGAGAAACTCTGGGGTCCCACTCCATGCAGCTAAACGGAGCAGCCAATTCACAGGGGCCCGAGGCCTGTCAGCCCATGGGTCCCCAGGTTTCAGGGTGTAAGATCTACAGCTTGAAGTCAGGCCTCTCTGCAGGCTGTCCAGTGACACTGCTCTCATCGAAAGTACAGGGCCAGCCTGGGGCACCAGGACTCTCAGCTTTTCCAGGTCTCACTAATCAGCCTTGTTCCCTCCTGGTCTCTAGTTCCTTGTCTAGGGAGAGGTGGTGGCTGATGCCACTCCTGGGAACAGAGGTTGAGGGACGGAGAACTGAAGACAAAGGATGAGCCAGGATAAGAAGCCCTAACGTGGGGCCATAGCGGAGCGTTCCCTGGTCAGAGACGCCACCTACCTGATGGTGATTTCAAAGATCTGATTGAGTTTGCTCTGCAGCAGTGAAGCCTAGACACAAAGAGAGGGAAGTGAGTCTCCCAGTCAGCTCCCGGGCCCACCTGTCCAGGGCCCACACTGGAGGTGCAGGGGCAGCTGCCGCCTTAGGGAAGTCGCCAGTGTGAGCACATTTCCAGCACTTCTCTGGGGGACCCTGTCTGCAGATTCGGATCAGGGCAGGCTGACTGGCGACAGGACGGAGGGCTGGGAACACCATGGAGGATATTGGCAGTTCTCAAAGGCCCTTTCTCCTTATTGAGAACAGGAGGGTATGCTGGGCATGGAGCTGCTGCTAGCTCTTCCCTTCACTCACAGAGAGCAGCTCGGCACACCTGCCGGGTTACAGATGATCTCTCTGGTCTTGTCTGGCTCCAACTAAGTCTACGAATACAGAGAGTGAGAGACACTGCATGTGCTCAACAATGGCCTCAACTCCTAGCTCAGGAACAGGGCAGGGTCCCCCTCTCCACGTGGAACAAGAGGCGAGGCTAACACAGGCTTGGGACAGTCTTGTCCCGTGTTCCCCTAACCTCTCATAGGTTCCACGTATTGCTACAATCCACGTACATGCATTGTGTTTTTATTGAAAGAAAGTTACTTGTGGATTTTGACTATTTATAATGATATTCCATTGTCCCTAAGACCGACCTTGTGGCTAACAAATTTGGCATTAGTCCATTTCAAGGACTGTTTGAGCTCTGCAGGTCTAGACGTTGGTCCTCATTTCTACTGGTCTGGCTGTCTCTCTTTCACATCTCTTTTCCAAGGCCTGGTCCAGCCCCCTGCTGGGGTCCCCTGGTTAGAAAAAGGCCTGCTGCAAGTATGGACCATTTTTCACTGTGCCAGGCATCCTTCCCCCACCATGCTGGAAGGCAGGGATCACAACAGCACCAGCATTATCAGGGATACAATAAACAAATCAAGAGAGGCATCTGCTAAGTACTATTTATGCAGTTGCTATGCTGCTTACACACTGACAGGTGCTCCCAAGTCAGGACTACTTCTTTCTATAAAAAACGGGAGGTCAGGAAGAGGGTATGACTAATACCTCAGTCTTTTGATTCACAGTGGGGCAATGCAAGGCCAAGGCATAGGGGGAAACCTGGTAGTGCAGTACAGAACTCCCCGTGTTAGACTAACCCTCCTACCTGGGGATAAACGTGTCTAGACGTCCTAGACACTCGATGCTACCTGGACTCAGATCTAGTCTCCCCGTGAACCCCAAGGACTCTCCGCTATTATCCTCACTTACCCGGGCCCCGCAGTGTGCTGCAATTTCTTCAAAGGGTGCCTTCTGGAACTTTTCCACCACCTGTCGCCGCCGCTCACGTTCCTGCTCCTCGACGGCTACGCTGTCCACTGTGACACAGAGAGCTGGGTTAGTGCTCAGGTCCTGCCCTGTGGCCAAGCAAGGGGAGAGGGCTGAGTGGATATAAACACAAGTGGGCGCCTCCAGGGGGCGCTGCCCGTGACTGGGACTTGGTGCTTCCCTCTGCTGACAAGTAGCAGATGGTGGCCTGGCAGGTGTGGCACCCTCACTCAGTGTCAGGAAAGCTAGGTCTTGTCTTGATGCTGCCTGAGGTTCAGCGCTTCCTTGGAAAAGAGTTTGAGAATAAATTAAGTGGCTCTGTCAGCTGGGCTTTTAAAGCCCCAAGCAGATGTACTGTCACTAGGACTCTTAGACAGAAGGTTCTAGAACACTTGGTCTTTTTTTTTTTTTTTTTTGGACACAGAAATGGTTTATTACCTGTTGATAACATGTATAGTATTCTTTTTTTTTATTATCATCATAATCTTCTTTATATTACATTGGATTACATAAACTTTACAGTGTATTACATTGTTTTTTCAAAAGGGAATGCCATGCATGTCAGTCAGTACAGAGACATTAATCTCCCCACTTCAACATTCCATATCTTTTGTTTTCCCCAATCATTATTTTTATTATTCTAATTATTTTTATAAAACAGTCAATTGCTATTTCTCGTTTTGCTTGTAAAAATACTTTGCCCATCATGAAATACTTCTCAGACCAATCCAGTTGAGAATACTATACATGTCATCATCAACAGTTAATAACCCCTATCTGTTTCTCACTAACGTCCTGTCTCTCTATTGTTCACTTGCTATCTTTCTCTAGCCTCTTCTCTAGAACACTTGGTCTTTTGAGTATTCTGAGGATAATTTGAAAAGGGACATCAAAATAGAAAAGCCAGGGCCACCTTCATGTCCCAGTGGTTAAGGGAGCTGGATCCCACATGACCAACCATGTGGTTTGAATCCTATCCCCGGCAGCTTGAAAATCACGCCTGGAGCGTGTGCATGCCTGAAGCCCTAAACGCACGGAGAAATGGAGAAGGTACTGCGGGGTGCCCACATCCCATCCAGACGTGCTTTTCTGCTCTTTCTCTGTCCATTGTGAACACACATGCTCACTGACAAAGAGAAGAAACTAGAAAAGCCAGAGTCTGTAAAAGCCAACACCAAACCCCTATGGTATAGCAGGCTGAGGATATTTAAGTTAAGGTTTCTACACAGGCCTCTTGGTATCCAAAATGACTTAGTACATTAAAAAAAGAAAAGAAAAGGGACCAGCAGATGGCATAATGGTTACATCACTGGACTCCCATGTAGTTGACTGTGGTTTGAGTCCCGGACCCAGCGGCTTAAACTCATGCTGGCCACATAATCCTGAGAGGAGAATGGAAGAGGAAGGACTGCAGCATGGCCATCCATCCTGGGGGTGATTTCTTGCTTTTTGTCTCTGTCTCCCCGGCAAGCACATGCACCCTAATGAAAACTGTGAGGTCAAGAAGAGTGTATGATTAATACCCTAGTCTTTTGGTTCATGGGAGAGATTAGAATTGACAGGCAAAAATCTCTAAAAAAAAAAGAAAGAAAAAAAGAGAAAGAAAAAGAAGAAAAGAAAAAAAATGTTGGGGGGATGGCAAATATGTTTATCATGTTTGGTTTAAGAAGCCAAGCAGTGTGTACATTCAGAAAACATATCATTAATGACAATAAAACTTTAAAAAATTTGACATTGGGAGCTGACAGGGGGCGTAGTAGTTGTGGTGGCTGGACTCCCACATGGCTGACCGCAGTTTGAGCCCCACACATGACAGCTTGCTTTCTCACTTTCCTTCTTTCTTTTTGCCTCTGTCTGGTCAACTACAAAAAAAACAGGGACTAGCAGATGGTGGATGGCTACATTGCTGGACTCCCATGTAGTTAACTGCGGTTCAAGTCCCGGACCTGGTGGCTTAAACTCACGCCGGGCACATATGTGTGTGTACCCAAGATCCCGAGAAGAGAATAGAGAAGGGATTGGGGTATTGCCATCCCCCCTTGGGGATGATTTCTTGCTTTTTGTCTGTCTCTCTCTGTTTTTCTGGAGAGCACACATGCCCTATAGACAGTGGAAAAAAAAAAGTTTGCCATTTAAAGGTATAATATGTCATCAGTTAAAAAAAGTCCTTATTGAGAATACCTCATGGCCCAACCCAGATAAACGATGTAACACCACACCTTAAAATCTATTGCTCTTAGTAAATGAATATTAATGTGATTTGTTCTTAAAAACTTTCATTGGTCATCTTACTCTTTTTGCATCACACTCCACCAAAAAAAGTAAAAATATTTATGCAGAATTATTTTTACTTGTATGAAGGCTGTGACCTTTAATGGAAGGGAGCTGCCTGATGTACGACACACAGGACAATGCCCACCCCCTTCAGGACACGGGGGACTCTCACTACCTGCTTGGGCGGTATGAAGTGTTTGTGGGAAGTAACCAGCTCTCTGCTGACCTCTGAGCTGACTCACGGGGAGGGCAGCAGATCAGGCTGCACGTGTCTCAGAGCAGGCCCCAGGACCCAGCCTGTCTCCCCCGTCCAGAGTCCCACAAGACCCTGACTTACCAATGGCCTTCTTTAGCGTCTCATAGGTGATCTCCTCGGCAGGGACCCGCTAAAGGAAAGGAACAGAAATGCTCAGAGAGTAGGAGGACAGGGAGGGAGGGAATAAGAATCTCTTTGCTTCTTAGAGAAATGTATTAATGGACAGAAAGTCCTTTAGGGCTCCCACATTCTCACTGGGGTCTTTGGAAGCACCTGAGCAGAAATGGAGTAGAGCAAGTGAGAAGCGGGTGGGGACATTAATTCCTCATTAGAGTCAGATTCGGCAGAGTCCTGAATCTTACCTACAAGAACTCACCGTACCTGCCCACTCCCCAAGCCTGTCTCATCAAGCCCTGTGGGAGGAAAGCGCTGTGTCATTTTTAAAAGGTCTTCAGAGAACATAACAGAAAATATTGGAAACCAGAGGAGGTAGTTGGCAAATATAAGCTCAAATACAAATTTCAAGAACTGAACAATGTTTTTGAAGAATTATGCTATTAAATGATTAAGGTGAGCTCAGTAATAATGATAAGAAATGGGAGATTAGCATTGATGGGGCCTCCGGCTGGTCACATGGTAGTTAAGGCAACTGGATCCCAAATGGCCAACTGTGTGGTTCAAGTCCTGGACCCAGCAGCTTGAAAAACACACTGGGCATATGTGCATGTGTGCCCAAAATCCTGAAAGGAGGGACACATGGAAGAGAAGAGATTGTAGTGTGGCCATCTGCATAGAGGATGCTTTCTTGTTCTCTCTCTCTCTCTCTCTTTCTCCCCAGAGAGCACATGCACCCTCTGATAAATTAAGAAGAGAGAACTGAAAGGCGTTCTACTGCTGGGTTGATCCAAGGACAGGGGCCATAAGAGCTGTCCTCCGCAGAGTCCAAAAGAGAGGCACTCTATGATGCATGGCCTGAGGTCAGATGCTGGAAAGAGTAACGAAGTTTGGGCTAAATCTGAGGAATTCCAGACTAGACTGTGAGCTGTTTGAGGCCATGGTTTACTCGCATGCTATCACTTTAACATAATTCGAGTGGAAGTTGAGACAGAAGAGAAGGATTTCACTGCTACGAAGTTTAATAAATGACTCAGATCAGGCTAGTGGCATCCTTCGGGGAGAGGGGCACAGAGGCGGGCCCTAGTTCACTGACCCGGGGGTGAAAACATTCGGGAAGTGTCTAAGCACTTTGTGAAAATTCACTGTGCTACACACTTTTTGATTGTTTGGGCTTCTGTAAATGCTTGATTGAGTAGGAAAGAGGAGGGGACAGAAATGCTCACAGTGAGGATGGGGAGAGAGGGAAGAAGACAGCTCCCTGGCTACTGAGAAGAATGTACAATAGGTAGAAAGTCCTTCGGGGAGCCCACATTCTCCCCAGGGTGAGGTGGGCTGAAGTAATCCAAGATATATTAAATGAGCACCAATTGCGTGTGAGATTCTGGGCGAGATGCTCAGTAGAAATGACAAAATTTACTGGCATAGGAATTACGGGCAAGGGAGAGTTGCACTGAGCTGTAATTTGCTCCACGGATCCTCCTCAGCCACCCACTCGTCCTTCCATCCTCCTCCTGTCAGTACTCTCCGACCTCAGATATTGATGTGCAGGGTGCTGGGGAACTGTGTGGTGGTGATGCTCAGAGAAAAGGACCTATTATTGTGGGGAAGAGCAGGTGGAGAAAAGTACATGGAGGGAATGGGACACGAACTGGGAACTGAAGAACAGGCAGAGGAAAAGAGTGATTCAGACATAGTGTGGGAGAGATTGGAAGAGGGTGACAGCGGGCCACCAGAGAAGGACAGGATGGGGGGTTACAGAGAAGGTAGAATGAAATGCGATGATAGGGCCAGCCCAGACTAGAAAGGGCTCTGAATGCTGGGTTGCAGGAGCGAGATTCGACCAAACCTGCATCTATGCATCACCGCAGTGAGGCTGGCACTTAAGGCCACGGGAGCCACAGCAGGATTCCAGAGCAGGACGTGATGGCTGAGACTGAAGGAAGGCACAGCAGAGGACCCGGGTGGAGGCTCCACACTACCAGTCCCGCCACCAAGCCCTGGGCTCAGCTGGCTCTTCAAGAAGGGAAGGAATGGATCTTGGTGGCCCGGGAGGCCGCTAGTGAGTCGGTGGCTCTATAACTAGGGAAGGGTTGCCCTCTACCTTCTGCTTCACTGTGTTCATCGATTCCGGAAGGTCTCTTAACTTCTGGGAGGGAGAACCAGCACAGGGGGAGACAGCAGCCTGCTAGCCCTGAGGCCCGACCTCCTGCAGGGTCCCACGCTGTGAGAGCTGGCACAGCTCGGCAGGACACCTGGCTCAACCGCTCCTTTCATGTGTCGGATTAGCCTCCTTCCTTCGGAGGGTTCCACACAAGTTTGGAAAGGCCTGGACTGGAGGTTGGCCCCATCAAGGAAGTGGTCCAGGGCATGGTGAAGGGAGGCTTGACCTCAACCTCCTGAAACTTTCTTGTTCTCATCAGATCTGGGGAAAGCCTTGTCCTCCACGGCAGCCCACATAGGCACAGAAACTCGGGGATGCCAGACTACCTATGCCTGAGGACCACACCAAGCTTCCTGCCCTGGTCCCCCCAGAGGTGTGCCCTCCTCACTTGCTGTGAGGTTTCCTCCACACCTCTATCACAACAGATGCTTGTGTACACATGCCCAAAATCCTGAGAGGAGAATGGAGAAAGGACTGCAGCATTGCCATCCCCCAGAGGGGTGATTTCTCACTTTCCCTCTCACTGTCTTTCTTCAGCAAACACACATGCCTTATGGCAAAAACCTAAAAAAAAGGAGAGAGAGAGAGAGAGAGACGGTGGAAGAGAGAGATCTTATAGGCACCATGGCAGCTTTCTCTGAAAAAGGAATCTAGGTTGTTGGGGGAGGGAAGAACAGACAGAGCACGGGGAATTTTCAGGTCGGAGAAAACATCTGTATGACACTGTAATGATGGACACGTGTCATTATGTGTGTGTCCAAGCCCATGAAGTGTGTAACACCAAGAGTGAACCCCAGTAGAAATGATGAACTTTGGGTGACAATGATGTGTCCACGTAGTCTGACCCACTGCGACAAATGTGCCGATTGGGTGGGGGATATAGATATGAGGGAGACAGCATATATGTATGGAGGAGCATATGGATAAATTACCTTCCTCTCAATTTTGCTGTGAACCTAAAACTGCTTTTATAAAAAAAGAAGTCTTAGGGCCAATAGGTGGCGTGGTGGTCAAGGGCGCTGGACTCCCACATGACCGACCATGGTTCAAATCCCGGACCTGGCGGCTTGCTTTCTCACTTTCTCTCTCACTCTATACCTCTCTGATCAAATTAGAAAGAAAGAAAGAAGAAAGAAGAAAGAGAGAAAGGAAGAAAGGAAGGAAGGAAGGAAGAGAGGGAGGAAGGAAGGAAGGAAGAGAAAGAAAGTTCAATAAAATAATTCTTTAAAAAAAAAATGAAGTCTTGGGGCCAGCAGGTGGCGTGGTGGTTAAAGGCGCTGGATTCCCACATGGCCGACTACAGTTTGCGTCCTGGACCTGGCGGCTTGCTTTCTCACTTTCCCTTTCTCTTTCTCTCTCTCTCTCTCTCTGGTTAAATTAAAAATAATTAATAATAACAAATGGAATTAAATAAAAAAATAAATAATTCTCAAAAAAATGAAGTCTTCATAAAAACATCTTTATTGATACATCTGGAGAAACTCTATAAAAGCTATTTTCACCCTTGTCTCTTCTATTAAACCTTCTAACTTCCAACATGGAGCACGTCTGCTCCCATTTTGAGGAGTGAAGGGATGGGAAGCCTTTAAGAGTGACGTTTATGATATCCTCATGGGAGTAGAAAGGACTAACATTTCCTGTGGAAGTATCTATGGTATTTGTCTGTCTGCTTGCTTGTCCATCTGTCCATATTTATCTATCTACCTTCTTACCTACCTACCATGACTGTCAGTAAGAAAATGGATTTACGTGAAGAAATTTCTTTCAGTGTAACCTTTGGTGCATCACACCATGGGGGGGGGGACTTGGAGCATCGTGTGTCTGACTCACAGAAGGCAGAAGCTTCACCAAGACCTGAGGACACTCACCTCTTCCTTCTCTGGGCTGTTCCTTGACTCCACCTCTACCTGTAAGGAAATGGTCTCTCCAATGCTCTTCCTTTTCGATAAGCGATCTTCATCTGGAAAGGAAGCAACCCGGAAACTGGAATCCAGCCCTGAGAGAGCCAGGATGGAGCCCCCAGTCCCATCTCCCAACCCGTCCACCTCGACTTGGTCCATGGTCCTGTAAGGCTCACAACACACTCAGGCTACACCTGGAATTTTCAGAAACTCCTACATGCTCTGCGTCTTCTCTGCCCTTTGCAAGATAATAGTTTTGCTCCTTAGGGCTGAGATTTTGAAATCACTGATGAAAGCAAAGAAGCTGCTCTTGACTGAAAGCACTTCTTGTGTCAGCGTCACCCGCGAACAGCAGCAGTGGCCGTCACTCATGCAGCGTTTACTGAGTGCATCGGCCTTCGATGTGTCACGGAGCTCTACACCAACCCTCTGAGGCAGGTATTGTTAGCATCCCTACTTTACAGTTAAGGAGACAGAAACTCGAGGGTGCTGAGGGACTCGTCTAAGATTCTTCAGGCAGTGGGGCCAGCAGGTTTCATGGTGGTTATGGTTCTGGACTCCCACATGGCCAACTGCGGTTCAAGTCTTGGACCTGGTGGCTTGCTTTCTCACTTTCTCTTTCTCTTTCTCTCTGGTCAAATTAAAACAAAACTAAATAATAATAATAAATAAAGTGAAATAAATTTATAAAATATTTTTTAGGCAGTAAATTGCAAGGGTCTCACCCAGGACCTCTGGGACAGCACAGCACAATGGCGCCTCCGCCCTCCATGGCCAGGCTACCTCATGGGCTAGCTGATGCAAGAACCCTGCACTGGGGAGGAGTGGAGGAACTGGAGGATCTCCTCATAAATCCTGCTGTGCCTTTCAGCCCCGTGTGACAGGTGAGATGCCACAGAAGGAGATTGAATGGCCCACAGATCCCTTATACGCAAGCCCTTACCTGGCCAGGAAAAGACAGAGGCAGGCCAGGAGTGCTGGCCCATAGCACGTACCTGTCAGCTGGGGGATGTAGGGCAGGGAGAGCCTGTCAGCGTTGTAGCCGCTGCCCCCCAGGACCTCGCTGATCTTGCTCTGGCGGAAGAGGAACTCGATCACCACTCCATCAAGATTCTGAGATAGCCTGGAAGACAAAGGAGGGCAGAGGTGAGTCAGGGCTGTGGGTGACCAGAGTGATTTCCTAATGACTTGTTATGACGGAAATAACATGGTCGTCAGGCAAAATGAAAGAAGCAAAAGGAAAAGAAAACTGCCCACAGTCCCTTTTCCAGAGATAGCCACTATCTCCACGTTGTGTAGAAATCCTCCAGTCACACACACTTAGGCACACGTGTGCACACTCATACATGCACCCCCCAACACACACACTGCTCTGTGATCTACTTTATTCACCTGTCATATAGCATATTTTATTTCACAGGATTCTTCAAAAACACCACTGGTGCTATTTACCAGTTACTGAATACATGACTGGGTCATCATTTGTAAAGCTATCCCCTACTGTTGGATATTTTGTTTTTTCTTTCTTTTCGAGATTTTTTTTTTTTTGCTATAGGGCCTGTGTACTTGCTAGAGAGAGAGAGAGAGACAGAAAGCAAGAAATCACCCCCCAGGGGGGATGGCCAAACCACAATCCCTTCTCCTCCATCCTCCTCTTGGGATTTTGGACACGCACACACGCTTGAATCTCAAGTCGCCAGGGCCTGGACTCAAACTGCAGTTGACTACATGGGAGTCCAGTGCCTTAATCACTATGCCACCTGCTGGTCCTGATATTTTGTTTTTTCAAAATACCTTTCCTAGAGTTCCTCTGAGGCTGAAGCAGTCATTCTGGCCTCGGCCCACGTGACGATCTGAGAATGTCGCGTGGACTGACATCAGGGGCTTTCCAGGAATGACTTCTCCAGGAAGCATTTCCCCTGGGTTGGGCTAGAGCTCCCACAGGTTGCATCACATACTCTATCATATAACCACAACAGGGCTCAACATCCTGCTTATGACATGGACTGTGGAAACGTAGGAGGTCAAACTTCCCCCCGGCCTTCTGCGTCCCAGACAGAGTCTGCTTTCTGCCTCTGATTCCACAGAAGCCTCAGCTTCCTGGTGCAGACCTCTCCTGGCCTCAGACTGCCCACCTGCTCCCCCTACCTGCATGGCAATCCTCGGCCACTCCTCACCTGGGCCTCTCCACAAACACGTCCTCAGGGAGCATGTACGGCGCCTCCTTTTTCCTGGTTTCTATCACCTGGTGAGAGGAAGACTCACATGATAAGCGGGGCCCAGCAGGGAGGAGCCCAGAGGGCAACTGAAGGAGCCCCCACCCAGGCTCAGCTTACTCCTCTCCCAGCAGAGTGAAGGACTGGTGGGCTTTGAGTGAGGGCCCTGGTCAATGTGACCCGAGAGCAGCCTGGGAAGCCAGGCAGCCTGCCCATATGGTGGCTGTCAGTGACACGTATGCATCAGGTGTCCTCCAAACGCAGGGGACTCCACCCCTCAGGGCCTGCAGCTCTCGCTCCTGCACCCCCTGCATTTTCTGTGTAAATGTGTAGAAAGAGCACAGTCCCACCCTGTCCCACCCCTGGGTACTGTGATACTCGGGACGTGGCAAAACATCCTGAGGGACAGTGTCTTCTTGACCTTTCCTCAGTCTCTTTTGTGAATGTTTGACAAGGAAGGTGGAAGTTACTACGGTGGTGTTAAGTGGGGGAGACAGCTGGCGTGCATGAGTGTGCAGGAGACAAGCTAGAACCATCCCACGGTTTGAATGAAGAAGGTAACCCAGGCGTTCTTGCACTCACTGATTAGCCAGAGGCTGGGAGGGTCCTGCCTCCCTTGGGGTGGTCTTTGGCATAGTGACATGGCACCTCACACACACCCAGGGGAGCCAAGATCTGAATTTTTTTGTTTGCTTTGTTATTGTATGTATGCAAATATTTATTTAAAATTTTTAAGAATTATTTTAACTATTTGTTATTATTATTATTTTCCAATTTGACGAGAGAGAGAGAGAGAGAGAGAGAGAGAGAGAAAGTAAGAAAGGAAGCCATCAGGTCTGGGACTCAAACCATGGTCAGTCATGTGGGCGTCCAGTGCCTTTAACCACCACACCACCTGCTGGTCCCTTGTTAATTTTTAAAAAGAATTATTTATTTCATCATATTTATTAATTCGTTCTTTTATTTATTTATTTATTTATTTTTTAATTTGACCAGAGAGAGAGATGGAAAGTGAGAGAGCAAGCTGCCAGATCCGGGATTCGAACTGTGGTCAGCCATGTAGGAGTATCCAGTGCCTTAACCACCACAGCACCTGCTGGTCCCCTTTATTTAATTTAAAAAAAAAATTTCCAGAGGGTGCATGTGCTCACCAGGGAGAGGCAGAGAGAAGGGGAGAGGGAAAAAGCAATGGGGCATAGCCACGCTGCTATCCTTTCTCCTCCATTTCCCCATCCTGGGCACACACTCCCAATGTGCCTGGTATGTTCTTCAAGCTACTGTGGGTAGGATCTGAACCATAGTTGGCTGTGTGGGATCTAGCTTCCTTAACCACTAGGCTACAGGTCTAGCCTGCCACTGCATTTAAAATTAATCTCAGACACCATATTGTTCCAGCATAAATAGTTTGGTGTGTTTTTTAAAATCTTTCTATAATGACAGAACATTTGGCCATTGACTGGGTATTAGGTAATCCCAAGGAATTATTGATAATTAAATTAGGTATATCAACAGCTTGCTAATCATGAAAGGAGCTACAGATGTTTTTTAAGACACGAACACTGATATTTATAGGGTAAAAGTACCCCATAGCTGGGGTTACTTTTAAAACAGTCCCTGGAAGAAAAAGGGCAGAGAAATTAAAAATAATAAATAAATTTAGATAAAATAATTTAAAAAGGAAACAAGGGGAAGGGGCCAGCAGGTGGCGTGGTGGTTAAGGCGCTGGACTCCCACATGGCTGACCACAGTTCACGTTCTGGACCTGGCAGCTTGCTTTCTCACCTTCTCTCTCTCTATCTCTGGTCAAATTAAAAATAATAAATAAATTTAAATAATTTTTTTAAAAAAGAAAAAGGGCAGAGATAAAAGCAAATGTGGAAAAGTTTTCTTGACTGTTTAACCCGCAGGAGAGCCAATGGATGTTCGCTGCTCTACCTACATGCTTTTATAGCATTTGCAAACTTTTGGAGCAAATGCTTTCCTGACGTAGCTTTGGCGCAAGTGATCTGAGGGGTGGAGGGAGAAAAGGGGCTGGACGTGGAGGGGGCAGTAGCAGGTCAGGAAGGTATAGATCAGGGCTCCCCAAACCCCTCATGAATCAGTACTGGTTTGTGGCCTGTTAAGAACTGGGCTGCACAGCAGGTGGGCAGAGGGCTAGCAGGCAAATCTTCCTCTGTATTTACAGTTGCTCCCCATCGCTGGCATTACCATCTGGGCTCTGCCCCCAGTCTGATCAGCAGTGGCATTAGATTCTCATAGGAGCGTGAGCCCTGTTGTGAACTGCCCATATGAGGGATCTAGGATGCGTGTTCATACACCATCCCTTCCCCACACCCCCATCTATGGAAAAGTCATCTTCCACAAAACTGGTCCCTGGTGCCAAAAAGGTTGGGGACCACTGGTGTAGAGAACACTCCTCACACCCAACTGCACCCTGCTCTGTCATGTCACCCAGGAGGAAAGGCTGCCTCCATAACTTCTCACCATTATTACCTCTTAACTCCAACCCTTCTTCCCTGAGACTAAGCACAGGACTAACGTAATAAAGGAAAAGTTGTTGTTCCTGCAAAGTCCATGTCGAGGGCCTCCTGGTGCACAGGATGGGGGGACACTGACCTCGTGGATGTGCTGACAGAAGGCAGGCACTGTCGTGAGCTGGCTGATGAGGTTCAGGTAGGCCGCACCCAGCGCGTAGAGGGCACAGCGGTTGTACACAGGCAAGTTCTCTTCATTGACCTGGGCCACGTCCTGTGGTGACATGGATGGGCCTCTGGAGTTTTAACTGATAAACCATGCTGCCGTCTCTGCCCCCCCCCAACCTCCCCTCAGTCTCTGTACAGATGGTTCACTTTTCCATACTCAGCCTTTTCAGCATGTGCCCCATAACTTCCTGGGAGACAGAGCCATCCTCATTAAAGGAGATAGGAATGGTCCCTAGAACAATCCATGAGCTGGAAGGCTCTAAAATACTCACTGAACTTAGCAGCGAGGCTCTGAGTTCCCCATCCTGCAGTTGTAGCTTTGGTGACCTTTACTGTCCAAACACTTATCATTGCTCCCACCACTAGGATGCAGTCTCCCTCACTAGAGCTGATTCTGGGAGGGTGGGGTTGGCTTGTTAAACAGGGGTTATTATTATTATTATTTTTTAATTTTAAAAGAGGTTTTTATCGTAGGGCATGTGAGCTTGCTGGAGAAAGAGACAGACAGTGAGAAGGAAAGTGAGAAATCACCCCCCTAGGGAGATGGCCACATCACAATCCTCTCTCTTTCATTTTCCTCCTGGGATCTTGGGTCTACACAAATATGCATCCAGTGTGATTTTCAAGGTACTGAAGTCTAGGACTTGAACTGTAGTTGGCTGTGTGGGAGTCCAGTGATGTAACCACTATGCCATTTGCTGGCCCCTAAACTGGGTTTATTAAGTTGAAAAAGCTGTGGGAGTTACTAGGGGATTGGACCCAAAGGACTCCCAAAATCTAGCTCTTGAAGTAAGTAAACGGAAGGAAGAACACTGTAGCATTTAGGTTGGCCAAGTGGGATTTAGCAGAGCCTAGCAGGAGGCCTAAGTCTTCCTATTGCTGAATTCCCAGTCTTGCCATGATTCAGGATTACGATTTTTGCCTAGCTTCAGGACTCGAAAGATTCTAGAATTTGAGGATGAAAAACCCACCCTGATTCTCAGTATCCTCGGGAGTATCTTTCCCACCAGAAAGACTGTGAAAGTCTCAAGCCCTGTCTAGTGCCCCACCAGCTGCCTTTGAATCATGAAGGAGGCTTGTTAAATACATGTCTCCTAGACTTGGGAGACTCTGACCTACCAGTTCAGGGAATATGTATTTTGAACAAGTGATCAAGGCGATTCCAAAGCACAGCTAAGTCTGGGAACTTAGAGGATCTTCAGACAAGTTTGTTTTGGGATCACTTAGCGTTTGTGAACTCCACTTTGGGAATCCTTTGAATCTTATTCAGATTCTGCAAGGGACTTGAAATACAAGGGGCTCAGGGGTATTTCTGATGATCCTCTTTTGAGGCTGTGTCAAAGCCATGAATTCAGCATTCTTTGGAGGTTCCATGGCTTAGGGTCTTTATGGGAGAATGGCCAATCAAGAATGCACTATTCCTGGGCTCCAAAATAATGGGTAAGCAGTTGCTGCTCAGTACTCTTATCAGTGTTGGCCAAAACAGCCCCCTCCCTGAGCCTCAAGGCCTACGTTCACCTGGACAGCCCCACCTGCACAGCCAGCACCAGGCGGATGAGGTCCACCACCACCTCCTCATTGGCCAGCTCAATGCTGATGAGCGCCAGCAAGCCATAGAGCGCCTCGTAGTGCTTCTGTAGGTTGGTTTCTTCTTTGCAGCTCAGGTAGATGTGTCTGTAGAGCTGCTGGGAGTGCTGGGAACCGAGCAAGAGCAGGGAGGCCATGGTGGGTGGGTGGGGATAGGTGGGGCAAGGAGAATGGGGAGGAAGGCCAGACTGAAGGGAGTGGGAGGGCTGTGTGCACCCGTCTCCCCCACTTGGGAATGAGATGCCATTAAAGCAGACTCTGGTGAAAGTGGACACAGAAGAGTGCCTATTAGGGAAGGAGGGGTCCCAGTGAGCCCAGCAACACATCTGCTGCCAAAATCCAGTCTTAGGAGCAGGACACCCAATGGCCCTGGACTGTATCACCAGGGTTGTTCTCGGCTCTGGCCTCAACAATGAGTATTGACCTGGCTGACCTTCCTCATAGGGGCAGCTGGTCAACCTTCCCAAGTATGTCCATTAAGGGAGGAGGCAGGCTCTTAGGCAGTGGTCAGTAGGGACTTGAGGCAAAAATGTTGGAGTCCACAGGCTTGGCCTAGGTCCCCCATGTCTTCAGCTACCCTTACTTACCTTCTTCATGAAGACGGTGTCCTGTCGGGAGCACTTGTCCACTTTGAGCTTCAGCACAGAGATGTCACTGAGGGTACTGGGCAGGAAAAGGAAGCAAGGGCCCCTTTAGCCCTGTGTGAGGCCAGCCCAAGCTGACTGGGCTCTATCCTGATGTCACTGGTTGGTTCCAAAGCCTCCCAATGCTTCTTGAACCCTGGTTCTTAGCTCGATCTCCACTTTCTGTCAAACTCTCACATTCCTTCCTTTTCTCTTACAGCTTGATCCTGATTATTTCTTACTCTCCATATATTTTTTTTAAGAATTATTAATTTAATTTTATTTATTATTATTTTGAAATTTCATTATAGGTCATGTTCACTCTCCATAGAAATAGAGACAAAGACAGAGAGAGAGGGAAAGTGAGAAAGCAAGTCTCCAGGCTGGGATTTGAACCACAGCCGACCACATGGGAGCTCAGTGCCTCAACCACCATATCAACTGTTGGCCCTCCTCCTCTCCTTATTACTTACCCCCTACCAATCCTCTCTGACTCTTCTGACAACATCGCATCCCCTCCCTCCCCACTACCTGAAACTCCCTTTAGCACATGCTCTCTATCTCTCAGATCTCCAGTATCTCCAGCCCACCCTGCCCCCACCAGCACAGGTACCCTTTGGTCTCTCCTCCCCTGCAGAACTCCAGGTTCAATGCCAGTCAATGCCTCCCTGGTGGATCTCACTGAACATCTGACTTGTCCTCCCACCTGGGTGTGAAACTACTGGTCAAAACAGTCTCTCCTGGGGGTATTAACTCCCCTCACACATCAGCTGGAGGAGAGAGTTGAAGCTCACCTGATGGTAGAGAACTTGTGGCGGTTTCCATGACGATCAATGAAACTGATGAGAATCTCTAGAACGAAGAGACGGATTTCTGCGTCCTCCATGAGGGCAGTGGAGAGGAGGCGGTCAAGGAAGTTGCTGGGCAGGGCTGACATCATGTTGTTGCACTGGAAACCTGTGGATACCTGCAGGGAGCCCGGGACAGGGGTGTTTAGGAACCTCATCCTTCTCGGGTGCAGTGAGAGACAGAGGAGCAGCCAGGAGAAGTTGGGGGTGAAGTCCAAGCTCTCTCCAGACCTCTCCCTGGCAACTTTCCTGGGTGCCACAGGCAGCTTTCTCAAACACTCCCTCATTCCCTAGACCCCCCTACTCAGCTCCGCTCAGCAGATATGTGGTTGGGTGGAGATGGGACATTAAGGTGTAACAAGCAAGCAATGGATGAGCACTCAAGAGAAGCAGGTGCCAGGGAGCCTCTGACATTCCAGCCAGGTGGAGCACCCGCCACCAGCACAATGCTTCCTTTTACTGTTATTATTATTACTATTACTTATGCATTCAGTCACTATACATCATACAGCTTGTAGACAGAACTTATCCAACATAAAACACACCACAGACTAACCCTTTTTTTAAGAGAGATTTTTGTCATCAGGTGCGTGTGCTCGCCAGTGAGAGAGATGCAATGTGAGAAATTACCCCCCCCACCCCACCACCCGGATTGCAGCCCCATCCTCCTTCATTTTCCTCTTGGGACTTTGAGTCCATGTGCACGCACATGTGCCTGGCATGAGTTTTAAGCTTTCAGTCTGGGAAGTGAACCACAGTCGACTACATAGGAGTCCAGTGATGTAACCATTACACCATTTGTTCATCCCACACAATGCTTCCTTAAAAGTGGGACAATCCTAGAGAAGTAGACAGCAGAAGAGCTTACAGCTGGCTGTGGGATCAGTACTCACACAGCGCTCAGACTGGGCAGCGGGCTGTAGGATCAGTACTCACACAGCACTCGGGCTGGACAGCGGGCCGTGGGATCAGTACTCACACAGCACTCAGACTAGACAGCAGGCTGTAGGATCAGTACTCACATAGCACACAGACTGGACAGCGGGTTGTGGGATCAGTACTCACACAGCACTCAGACTAGACAGCGGGCTGAGGGATCAGTACTCACACAGCACTCAGGCTGGACAGCGGGCTGAGGGATCAGTACTCACACAGCACTCGGGCTGGACAGCGGGCTGTAGAATCAGTACTCACATAGCACACAGATTGGACAGCAGGCTGTAGGATCAGTACTCACACAGCACTCAGGCTGGACAGCAGGCTGCGGGATCAGTACTCACACAGCACACAGATTGGACAGCGGGCTGTAGAGTCAGTGCTCACGTAGCACTCAGGCTGTACAACGGGCTGTAGAGTCAGTGCTCACACAGCACTCAGGCTGGACAGCGCACGCAGACAGCATCTGCTTATAGCTCCCAGCACGGGATGGGGGCCGTCTAGCTAAGGCCGGTCAGCATGGAGACACATGCGTGGTGCTGTCAGAACACTCAGAAGCAGCACTGTGTATTTACGGCCCATTCTATGTTGCAAAACGAGGCCTTCGATGATTCTGAATGTCTAGCACCGCCTGCTGGCCTAGCAGTAAGTCTGCTTTCACTGAAGGGGGACGGGGCTGCATATGAGTGTGCCTTAATAAGATGTCACCTAAAGTTATAAATTAGTAAATAAATAAAATGCATAGGTTCCCTTGAGGTTTTGAGCTGTGAGTGTGAGTGAGGCCCTGAAGTCTGGGCTCGTAACAAGCTCCCAGGTGTTCTCGTGCACAGCCCAGCCTAACGCTAGCCACCTCACATCCAGATCACTCACAATGACTACCTTTCCCTCTCCGTGCCTGCCCTTAACACGCCCTCTAGGAAGGGCTCTCTAGATCTAGAAATGCTGCTCCCCATGTGCTGCTCCTTATTTTGGAGCAGGTCTCAGTTTCCCGTTGATGAACATCCAGACTTCAAACTTCTTAGACTGAAGCTGGAAGGTTCCAGGTCCCTTCCCTTCTGAGAACTCTCATCTGTCTCATCTCCATCTACTCTAGCCAGTCCGGACTGCCCCAGCATAGCCCCATACACAGTCATGGCCCCCAACAGTCATTTTTAATTTAATTTTATTAATTATTATTATTATTATTATTTTAATTTGCTATAATCATCAGAGAGACACAGAGTGAGGGAAAACGAGAAAGCAAGCTGCCAGGTTCAGGACTTGAACCATGGTGAATTTTTTGAGAGGTTTTTGCTATAGGGCATGTGCACTTGCAAGAAAGAGAGACAGAAAGTGAGAAATCACCCCCCAGGGGGGATGGCCATGCTGCAATCCCTTCTCCTCCATTCTCCTCTCGGGATCTTGGGCACGCACACACATGCGCCCAGTGTGAGTTGAAGCCACTGGGTCCAGGACTTGAACCGTGGTCCACTACATGGGAGTCCAGCGACATAGCCATTATGCCAATTGCTGGTCCCAGCCCAATATTTTAACAAGTTGGTCGTGGGAAGGTGTCTAGAACAAGGGCTCTAGACTCCAGTGACGGCTGCCAAGATGCTAAGAAGACACTGATGAAGGGAAAGATAGTGGGAAGACCGAGGCTGGTGCAAATGCCAACAGGAAACGGAGGAAAAGGAGCAAGGTGAGTTCCCTCCTTTTTTCCTGGGGGAAAATGGACAGGAACAGTAGATCCCACCTGAAAATGGAAAAGGTTGAAGTGACGGGCTGCCAGTTGCAGATAAGAAACCTTCGTGGGAATTAGAGACAGGCATCCCCCCTGCTCTAGATGCCCAGCCTGCATGGAACGTGGGCTGACTGCAGGCCCCCACTCACCTTCTGGCTGGACACATCTGCGCAGTGCACAACCGATACAGTGGCACACAGTGACCCTCTCTAGGTCCCGTGGTAGGAGCTGCCTCTACAGAGGCAGACCAGGAATGGGGGTAGAAGAGACTCACCTGAAGGAGGGATTTCAGCAGCATAATCTGGGTCAGTCGGTTCCTGTTCTCCCTGAGGAGAGACAAACACACTAGGATGGTGAGGTGGGCAGAGATCCCACACTGGCCTGCTCAGTTCTCCCTCAGGTAAGTTCCTCCACGAGGCTGGCCTTGGTGGATAATCAGAACAGTGACGTCTAGACCCCAGAAGCAAGCCAGGGAATACTTGATCCCCATGGTGGGGATCCAAAGGCCCCAGTAAAGGCCTTGAGACTTGGAGGTAAGAAGAGAAGGCGAGGGCAGAGCCAAGAAAGCTAAGATGGGTCACGGAGAGTGCCAGAAAACGTGGCGGATGGGGCAGGAGAAGGTGGTGGCTCACCCTGTCCTCCCGGTCTCCACGGGGTGGTGCAGGGAAGGCAGCGGGACCTTGCTCATGATGAAGAGGATCACCTCGGAGCGCTGGTACGTGGGCAACGTGCTGGCAAAGGAGCCTGCAGAAGAGGGCAGAGTGCGGGCCCAGGTCAGGCCAGCAGGCCAGCAGATCCGCCCGGGACAGCCTTTCCCTGACCAGCGTGGCAGATGAGGGGCTGGAAGTGATCGGGCCAGAGGGGAACCTGCAGAGGACGTCTGGGTATTTTTGCCTCTGGAGGGTGAGGAGGCATTTGGCAACTTCTGAGGCTCCTCCAGGCTCGGCTTCCCTGTTATTACCGAGGTCGGGGTTAAGGTCAGGGCTCCGGCTGCAGGAGACCAGGATGGAGCTTGTGGGGCCCTGGCTGAGGGCATAAGCCCCGGCTCCTGCTAGACTCCCACTGGTGTCCTACTGGTGCCCGTGGGTAAATCTAGCGTCCAGGACCCTTGGTGGCCTGACCTTTCCTACCTGCCTCCTCCTCTAAGCTGAGGGGACGCTCCAAGGGTACTAGGACAGGAAGGCTCTGACAGTGGTGGGCCTCCTCCATCCTTGGGAGGCAGCCTCAGCCTTCTCTGCATCCCACACGTGCATTTCCCTGGCCTCTCCCTTCCCTGTCTTCCCTTTACCATTTCAGTCCACCTCCTCTCCAACTGCCCAAACTCGGGAACATCAGGCAGGCCTAGTGGAGACTGGGACTTAGGAAGAGCTCGCCTTTGATCTGAAGTCCTGGCCCGAGATCCACGACGTTGTTCTGTGCTCTACGGACCAGCCAGGTCGTGTACTATGAACAAACCCCACTTTTCCAACGTCCTTGATTAACGTGACAGGATGTTTGACAATCCAGCAACTCCCTGACTGATAGCCTCGTACGGAGACTGGCTATTTCTTCCCCCCTTTCTCTGATCTGGGCACTGGTGATTTCTCCAGGCTCCATCGGACCCACCCCTCCCGAGACCCCTGACCCTGTCCCACTCTTGCCCTTAGCGCTGCTCGGCCTGCCTTCGGCCCCGCCCCACATTAGGCCCCGCCCCATCCTGGATCTCCGCCCTGCCCCATCCCGGGCCCCACCGATGGTCTTGATGACGGCCTCCTGGAACATGCGCTCCTCGTGCTCCTTGATGATCTTGGTGCCCAGGCTGATGGCGCCATCGTAGCTCCCCGTCAGGGCGTAGTCGATGCTGAGCCGCAGCTGCCTCAGCAGCGTGTTGAACATCTCCAGCACCGTGGGCCCTGAGCGCAGCGCGGGGAAGACCTGAGCATCACGCCGGGCTGGCCCAGGCCCCTTCCCGCAGGGCTTCCTCTGCTCCCACCTTCCCCTGAGGAAATCTGACTTTTCCACCTCCCAGCGTCCCTAGCTTTTTCCAGGAAGGGAAGGCAGCCTCCTCAAGGGCTGTGCTTGGTCTGGAGAGGTCCCAGGCACTCACTCCCCGGCTCAGGGGTCCCTTACCGACAGAGCCGGTGGCAGCAATGACAGAAGCTTCGGAAAGGACCTCCACGATGCCCGCACGCACCGTGGCTGCGCTGCGGCTGTTGGCGTCCAGGTGGCTCAGGAGCTGCTGGATAACCAGGTGGGAGTGCTGCGGCTGGGGGGAGGAAGACGTGCTGGTCCCCAGACAGCCACCCACGCGGTCCCTGAGCCAGGCAGACCCAAAGGCTTTGGGGCACTGCGGGTGGCAGATATAACCCCTTTCCTGGAGCTCCCCCACCCCCGTGGTCCGACAGCTCAGAGCCAAGACCCAGTGAAGCCTGGGTTCTTGCTGGTGTCCTGGGTCCTTTTACTTTGAATGGGCCAAAGACTCCTTTACAAACACTGTCTTCAAGGCCCATGTGCTGCAGTGCAGTAGGCAAGTGCCCTGCCAGGTTGGATGCCGCAGGGCAGACTCTGGTTCGATCCCTGGGTGGGCCTGAAAACATGCTGGGTACATAGGCTAGGGCACAGGGTCCCCAAGAGCTGGAGAGTGAAGGAAAGGGGGCTGTGACGTGATGGGACCCTGTGGAGGGTGCTTTCCCTCGCTCTCTCTCCTGTGCATGCATGCTCACGTGTGTGTGCGTGTACACACACACACACACTATCATCAAACAATGTAAAAAGATTGTCTTCACTTTCATTTTACCCTGCCCCAGGCCTGACTGGCAGGGTCACCATGAAAGGCCCTGTGATTTAGCCGGTGCTGCTCAAGCATGGCCAATGAACGGGCACCAAAGGTCCGCGTGATACTGGCTTGCACAATCAGTGTGGAGAATACGTGTGTGACGGCACCTCAGCAACCAAGGCTGGGGGTGCTAGGCTTGCATTGGGCAAGAGTTTATCACTTACATTAAAAAACGAATTGCCAGAAGGCACATGCCAGAGAGACAGAGAGAAAGAGAGAGAGAGAGAGCCAGAGCGAGTACCCCTCATGGGTGACAGCCACACTGCAGTCCCTTCTCCTCCATTCTTCTCTTGGGATCTTGGGCACGCAGTCACATGCACCCAGTGTGTTACTTGAGCCCCTGGATCCAGGACTCCAACCGCACAGTTGGCCATGTGAAATCCAGCTGCCTTAACCACCAGGCCATGGGCGGACCCCATCACTTAATTTTTATAGGGATTCTTTTTCATTGTGTTTCATAAACACAATGGTCTGTGGTGTTCTGGAATGGAAGGAAACTGGCCCTTCTCCACGGCTAGCTTAGGCAGCACTGGCTTAGACAGTAAGGGGCTTAGGAGATGTCCTGGAGGACATCTGGCTTTCTACAATCAGTGCCATGTGCTGCTCCCCGAGGTGCCCTTGGCCCAGGGCAGCCACCGTACCTGAATGGAGTACATGATGATCTTAAAGCAGCGGATGGCAAACACCTTGGGTTCCCAAAGAGAGTGGTTATCCAGGTGGCTGTGGGGGAGACATGGGGGACAGCTGTGAAACTCGAGATCCTGCCAGCCTCGAGGGAGAGGGACACCCCGATAGCCCCTGTACAGCGTCCAGGTAGGTGAGGGGGGTTTACAGAGGTGGGGATGATGAGGGACCTGGCCAGTCCTGGTCCCTGAGTTGGGGAGGTCATGACCCGGGCTCTGTAGCTATGGCCACGTGGGTGACACTGGGCACCTTGGTTCAGCTTTGGGTGGACCGCGTGCTCTCCCCAGCCTCACTTGGCCATCGTGTGGCGGCTTCTGCTGTCATCACTCAGGGAGCACATGCATGGACCTTTGGCCGTGCCACCACACCTGTGAATGTCCTTCCCCTCTCTGAGATGCTGGGACCAGAGCCAAAGGCTGGGCGTGTGGTGGGGCACTCACATGAGGACAGGCTTGATGGCGTTTTTGATGTTGCCAAAGGCAGCTCGGCCCAGCAGCTCCCGTAGGCACCGCTCGGCCAGCTCTGCCGGGTTCTCCTTTTCCTTCTCTGGAGCTTGGAGGGGCGAGGGAGACCGGCTGTGGGAACACAGAGCCATGTGAGTCAAGCAGGGAGTGCCAAGACGGGTCAGGCTCGGGGACCTGGTTTCCACACTTCCCCTATGAAATGCAGACGTCGGACAGCAGGAACCTGCCGTTGGCTGCTCTAGGCGATGGGAGATGATGCGGTTGTCAGGGGTCAAGGTGGATAAAGAAGCTGGGATTGAAGGAAGGTGGGAGAGACAGCGCTGCTTTTCTGAAAGGCTGAA